GAATAGTGGCTGTAGTGCAATATTCTAACACAGGATTGGGTAAAACGGTAATTTAATTCAAGCGAAAATGCTTGACAAGTTCATTTTGAGCAAAGCCGCCTCATAGGTCAGCAGTTGTAGTTCTACTCTCTTTCTCTCTCTCTCTCTCTGCTATAACTTAGAGAGAGAAATACTTATTAGGCCCTATTTGAGCCACTTTATGGTAGAAGGAGAATGAAAAATATAGTCGTTATTGGGACATACACAAGAGATAGAAATTTTAAATTTAAATATTGATGTGATGGATAACGGTCATATTTTTCATTTTAATGAGATAAAATGTGGTCCAAACAGAGGCTAACATAAAATATCATTACGTTTCGCTCGTGCAAAACGACCTCACGTTTCAATTTTTTGCATTTTCACCTCTATTTCAACGTTTCATTGTGGAAAATGTCATTCTCATCAATTTTTATCCAATTTCTCAATTAAAAATTATAAAATGACAAATATATCATCCTATTTAAATAAACCAAAGGGAAAATAAAAAATAAAAAACAAATTGCAATTATACTCTAATTTATTTAAAAGAAATGCAAATAAATCTCATCATCACTCGTCTCCCCTCTCCTATTTTGACTCTTCACATATTCTACAGAATTACAGCTCAACAGATTCATTTGAGAATTTAACACAATTCTTAATCAAATTTCAACTCTCAATAGGAATTTCAAATAGAATTTCAACTTAAATAAGATTCCAATAGTATTTCAAATTGAATTCCTCTTGACGTACACTTCAATTAGAATTCTTCAATTACTTCAACGGGGAATTCAGGTCACATCCAAATTCTAACAATCTCCACATTAACACAACTTCAACTGCAACGAACAAAACTCCAAAATTTCTTCACCTGGAGAAGAAAATCCGTTTGCAAGGAATGAACTAACTTTTCAACAATAACTAAAATTGATTTCTCCAACCAAATCCAAAATATTTCATATCTTTCAATGAATCCAAGCACCATTCTGTAGAATTAACTCAATTTCCCAAAAAAATCATAATGATTTTAAAATTCACCAAACGGATTGTAGCACACCCCAAAACAGAATCAAACTCAAATGCTTTTAAAGAAAACTCATTGCTAGATTGTACACATTCTACTACGCTAAAAGCATGTTTAACAAAATCAGCATCCGCATACCTTTTTCCACTAGGTCCGTCCATAGCAATAGAATATAATGGCACCGTAGGTGATGGTGGTAAAGCGGCATTATCCATATCTTATGAACTCCACTGAGCTATATTCTTCAAATTTGACCATTTACGAGCTCCTAAAAGTATTGTACCAAACTGAATGTTCACCAAGGTACTGAACCTGTGTTGATTGACTCTTCTAGATTCTGCACGACCCTACAAGATGTATAAATAAGACCTTTTCTTTCCAGTACAACTTGGGCACCCTTACAAACCTTCAAAGTTCCACCTCCATCAAAGAACTCATAACCCTTTCAATCAAGAATAGATAACGAGATGAGATTTTTCTTCAAATTTGGAACATGTCGAACTGGGAAAAGTGTTCTAATTGTCACATCCAATAGTTTCAATCTTATCGTACCAATTCCAGTAACTCGACAAGGTGTGTTGTTTCTCATAACCACGATACATTTGGAAACGGTTTCATATGTAGTAAACAAGTCCTTATTAGGACACATATAAAACACACACGCTGAATTTAGGATCTAATCCTCCTCTGGTTTAAACTCGATATCTATCTGACCCTTTACAAGCTTTTAAAGGTATTGTACCAAGCTGAATGTCCATCATGGTACTGAACATGTATTGATTGACTCTTTTATATTTTGCACGATCCTGCAAGATGTATAATTGAGACATTTTATGTCCCTCCAATACAACCTGGGCAACATTACAAACCTTCAAAACTCCACTTCCACCTCCACATTCATCTCCTCCAAAGAACTCATAACCCTTTGAATTAAGGATAAACAATGAGATGAAATTCTTTTTAAAATCCGGAACATGTTGAACTTGACCAAGTGTTCTAATTGTCCAATCCAATAGCTTTAATCTGACCGTACCAATTCCAGCAACCCGACAAGGTATGTTGTCTCCCTTAACCACGACACATTTGGAAACAATTTTATATGTAGTAACCAAGTCCTTATTAGGACACATATGAAACACACATGCTGAATCTAAATCAAATCCTCCTCTGATTTAAACTCGATGTTAGAAATAGTTAAGAGATCTCCTTCACTTATAATGTTCTCTGCGAGGTCTGCTTCACCTGAAGTCTCTGATTGCTTCCCATATCGACTTGTAGACAACCTTTCTTTATTATGCAATTTGTAGCAATCCTTCTTCATGTGCCCCTTCTTCTTGCAGTAGTTAAAGTTTTGATTACTAAACTTAGATGTCGATATGCCCCTTCCAGAACCACCATAAGTAACCATGCATTTTCTATCTCTAGCCTCAGAAATCAGATGATTCATCTTCTCTTTTGAAAATAAAGTATCATACACCTCCTCTTAAGATCGTGTCTCTAAATGAAGAAAACGAAGCGATCAACGAACACAATAGGATCAATGCCAAATATTCTTCATCATACTTTACTTCCAAAGTTTTCAAATCAGCGATATCTCCTTAAATACAGCCACATGATCTTCCAATGATCATCCTTTTGCTATTCGATGAGAGTATAAACGCTACTTGAGATTCAACTTGCTTGTCAGACTTTTAGTCATGCACAATTGCTCCAACTTTAACCATAAAACAGCTGCTAAACCCTCCTTCAAAACGTCCTGAAGAATGATATTTGATAGATGAAGATGAATGTGAAAAACTGTCTTTTTATCCTTCCGTAATTTCTCCTTCGCGGTCAAAGTTGCGGGCATTTTGTCAATTCCCAGCAACGTATCATCCAAATCCTGCTGTGTGAGTACTAAACGCATCTTAACTTGCCATGGCGAAAATTTAGTGCTCTGATCCAAAAGCGGAATGTCATATTTCATAGAAGTCATCACAAAAAAAACCTTGAACAAATTGAACCATGCGCTCTTGCGGAACTGCTGAACCTAGTCTCTGATACCACTTGTTGTGAAATAAGCAAGATACAAAAATCGCTCTGATACCACTTCTTGTGTTAATTATGCCCAAAATCTGATACTAATTATTGAAAATTCAAGGATCACGTATTGTTCGATACCACTTGATATGAAACCAACCATCAGATTGAAATATCGAAATTTTATGACATAATAATGAAATATTTGATCACAAGCAAAAGAATAAAAGAAGACAAGAAAATATGGTAGATGAATTAAGAGATTTTATTGCACCATAAATAATGAAGATGGAGAAATATTACAATGAAAGTTAGTAATCATTTTTCTCACACTATAAAATTGTATACAAGATCCTAATATTTATAGGCAACTATGTAGGATGACATCCAAATTCTAATAAATGAGTTGTAATTGAAATAGAATGCAAAAGAAATGTGTTAAAACGTAAAAAGGGTTTGGGCCGGACAACCCTGTCGCTCGAGCGATAAGCTAGTGACATGCTAGCAATAGGTCTGTCGCTCGAGTGATAGGTGAGCGATCAAGTCTCGGGAGAAAACCTGTAGGTGCTGCTCGAGCGGCCAACTAGTGGTAGGCTAGCGAAAATGCGACGACTTTTCTTCCCGGTTCATAATTTCAACATCTTCAAGTCTCATACAAATTTCAACTCCTAATAGGGCTTCCAAATAGAATTTCAACTTGAATAACAGTCCAATAGCATTTCAAACTGAATTTCTTTTACCGTGCACTTCAATTAGAATTTTTCAATTATTTCAACAAAGAATTCAGGTCACACCCAAATTTTAACAGAGAAATTGGAGAAAGAGCTGAGACCTATTGAATTGGAAGTTGAGGATATATCATACCAGCATGCGGGTCATGTTGGAGTTAAGGGAAGCAATGAGGAGACTTTTTTAACGTGCAAGTGGTTTCTGAAGAATTTGAAGGCAAGAGCTTGCTTAAGAGGCATAGATTAATTAACATCTTGTTACAAGACAAATTACAGAATGGTATACATGTATTGTCGATTGTGGCAAAGACACCTTTTGAAGTTGATACTCAGGGAGAGGGAGAGGGAGAGGGAAAAGAAGAAGAAGATTTTTCTTTTCTTTTTTAATTTAATTTATTTGGGATTTATTTGTACTTCTTTTAAAAAATAGGAGTATGATTGTAATCTTATTTCTTTTCCTTTCGTTTTATTTAAATAGGAGGATATATTTATTATTTTACAATTTTTAATTGAGAAATTGAATAAAAATTAATAAAAATAACGTTTTTCACGATGGAACGTTAAAATAGAGACGTTTTGTGCTAATAAGTCGAGAGAGAAACCCGTCTCTCTCTTTTAGAGATAAGAAAGAGAGAGATGCTAGTCTGGAGAGAGAAAGTTAAGTGGCGTTCCTTGTAAAAATGGAGAAATGTAGCGACTATTAATACTTCACTTGTAGGGTTTTGATTTCCACTGTATCTCTCTGTTCCAAACTGCCACGAGGTGATTTCATTTTTCTCTCTCTCTAGCTATCTACCTTTCATTTTCTCTCTCTCTCAATTTTTTTGATCGGTATCTCTCTCTCAATTTTTGCCAATGCTACAAGATGTCAAGAACCCTTAAACCTGACATGATCCTCAAGCTCACACAAAGTTTAAACTCAAAAAAGGAGCTCCTTACTTTGCCATAAAGCAACTAACACGGACAAACAGAAAGTTAAATCTTTTCCAGCTTTTTCACTCACCATAATCTTCCCCTTTAAAGCTCTGATTTTCCTCTCTCCAGAGTTTAGTTGATTTCAGATATCTGGCAAATAATTTCTACGTTTAGTTGATTTCAGATATCTGGCAAATAATTTCTACTTTTGTTATTTTATGCTCACAGGTGCGTTCAAGACGCTGTTTTTGTTTCTTTGATTCTGCTGGTGGAGGGCAAATAAAAGTAGAAGAATGGTGGACTATGAATGGGGGAACCCATCATCGATCATGCTTTCTGGTGAAGAGACGGCCCAAGATTCTAACCAAAACGGAAAGATTTTTGACCCATTCGGCACTCATAACTTCACGATGGAAGTCAACACTTTTGTTAACCCTAATGAATTCTCCACCGTCACTCCTCACAACCACCACCACCACCCCCACCCGTTTCACCACCCATATACTGACACCCATTTGACTAATTTCTATGACCCACGCTCTTATGGAACTTCTGCATCATCGTACCCGAATCCGCATGCACCACAGGCTTCAATGCTCACTCTTGAACCAACCGGTCCAACTGGGTTCATGATGGTGCCCAAGAGTGAGACGGTTGCTGGTGGGTTCGAGTATAACACCAGCAATAGTAGGATTGGGCTTAATTTGGGAGGGAGGACTTATTTTGCGTCCTCCGAGGACGATTTTGTGAACCGGCTCTACCGCCGGTCCAGGGTAATGGAGCTCGGCTCAGTCAATCTCCCAAGATGCCAAGCTGAAGGTTGCCACGCGGACCTTACTTACGCAAAACACTACCACCGCCGTCACAAGGTGTGTGAGTTCCACTCCAAGGCCGCTACTGTCATCGCCGCTGGGTTGACTCAGCGATTCTGCCAACAATGCAGCAGGTTGTACATTTATCCCCATATTTCTTTTAGTTGCAACCTAGTGTTAATGGTGAGTATTGACTGCCCTTTTGAAGTGTTAACAAGCTCATGATTGGATTGGGTGGTACATGTGTTGATCCCGATGGCATTGGCGTCCGTAGATTTATGTTTCCTCGTGATTTTGCTCCCAATTACGTTTTAACGTACCGTTGGATTTTGCTTATTATAGTAATGTACAGCTATTCTTTTTGAATTCAACAACCTGTTATCATCAGCTTTTTTAATGATCAACACATTTAAAATTCTACTGTTTCTACACCTAATTATATGAGATTTCCATTTGAATTGTTAATTGTTCTCACTAATTTTCCCTTAATTAGATTCCATCTCCTTTCGGAATTCGACAACGGGAAGAGGAGTTGCCGGAAAAGATTGGCTGACCATAACCGGCGTAGGCGAAAATCCCAGCAACCAAGTCAAGAACCCAGCAACAAGTCTCTACTGGACATTGCACCAAATTCTTCATCTGAAAACTTTGCAAGTAAGCTTTCTCTATGCATAAATTCAGCTCATGGACAAGAAAAATAAAATTGAAACTAGAGTGGACTGGGTTTGATTTGATTTCAGGGTCTCCACCTGATTCTGGGACTCATTCTTCATTGGTCACCGTTGCAATTTCACCTCCAAGAATTTCACTGGATTTTAGCCAAAGATCATATCAGGGTACAACGAGTTCTTCACCAAGCACAATTTTTTACTGAAAGGGGGTGACTTCAAGATCTTACGCGTTGCGCACTACCTAGACCTAGTAATAACATGGTGGAAGAAGAACCATCAATTTGACTAGAGTTTATTCTGCAGGTTTCTTATTATTTGCTCTAAAGAGAGATCAGATCGATTTACAGTTGAATCGTTATCGTATGTAACACACACATATATATGTATCTCTATATTTACATGGGAATCATTTACTGGTTTCCATTTTGTTACAAGGATTAATTTTGACAGGCACACTCATGCAGTGTATTACTATTTTTAGTTAGTCTTTGCATTACTTTTGTGTGTGGCTCTGATAATTTCTGGAGGGAATGCAGTAACTTAAATGAGGTAAAAGAAATAGCATTTTGACCAAGAAATATTCCATTGGGTAGTATGCAGCTCTGAAAAAGATGGCAGTAAAACAGCTTGGTGGTAAACAGTCTACAGTTTTGCAAATTTTGAACTTTTAAGATAAGATAGAATTCAATACTCAATTAGTAAAATAAGTAATTTTTTTCTTCTAAAGTACTTAAAAGTTAAGTTGTCTCCTGCATGGAGACTGCTTTTATTATTATTATTATTATTATTTTATTTTTAATGACTTCACTGTGAGTGGTGCAGATGTTGAAAAGGTCCCCACGGAAATGAGCTATGTAGCACAAATACTTCAATTAGGATAGTGTATTCGTGTTCGACACGTGTCGAACATGAAATATCATACTCCCTCCGTCCCATATATATAGACTTGTTTTATTTTTCACACGGATTAAGAAATCTTATTTGATGTTATTGGAAAAATAATTTTTATCAGTAACTTTCCAAATTTATCCTTATTTAATTTTCAACAACTAGAAGTAAATTATTGTTGGAATTAGTGACTAGACAAATTAAATAAGGGTATATTAGTAAAATAACAAAACATAACATTCCCTATTAAGAAACAAGCCTATATATTTGGGACAAGAAAAAAAGGAAACCCA